TCTTCATCATCTTCTACCACTAAATTTGAAAGAGAGTGTTAGGGGAGTGAGAAAGCATTTCCAATTCTTTAGCGTGCAATAAAGAATTAACAGCATCTTCATGGCTAAGTGGCATTTAACATTTTTTCCTATCACAGTAGTCATGAACCCGCCCTGTTCCTTATTTTGTGACCCAAAACAACTATAAATTTTACTGTCAGAAATCATCAGGCAACTAATATTTGCTCAGTGTTGAAGTTTAGCTCTTGATTCTATGGTAAGAACAACATTATTTCCGTGTTACAACTGGATAAGTAGGGAGCCACAATTCAGCAACTATTTACTCTTCCATACTAGGAAGTTCAAAAAGAAGTGGAATTGTACTTACTACTGTTTTCTTACTACCAAAAGTTTCAGGCTGCCAGAACAAATCCAGGGACGAATATAAATACCTCAGGAGAGTGGACGGATATGACAAGAAGCTGTGCTCCAAGAAGAGTAATTCAGAGGTATGCAGTGGTCCACACCTGAATCTGTTAGGCCCTCAAGTGTGCACTCAGTGTTCTAGTCCCAGACAATACATCTCAGGAGCATTCATTACTGCTGCATCTTTGCCATTTTTAATGAATGTATTGTTTCTAATATCCTATTGTTTTTTTCAAATTAAAACGTAAGAGACAGGGATAAACTTACCTGAATTCGTCTTATGAGGGTAAACAATTATTATTGTATAACATCAAATGCTTAAAAGAGCATTTCTTTTGTACAGTATTAACAGGTTAATACTAAATTAAGCAAATTTTTATGGAAATCCAGCTTCTGAAGTGAAAACAGTTAACACAGTTTATGCACAAATATCTATGATTGATCACTATACTAAAGAATAAATTTAAAATATATATTTTATTTATATCGTATCAAACAGTATAGTTACTATTTCAAGGGCTACTACTGTGTAAAAAGCTAAATTTTATAGAGCTATGAGGTTTGAGGTAAAGTTTTACCTTTATCCCTCTGGAGTTCATCTTTGGAAACTGCATCTGCACAGGCATCAAAGTATTTCTGTAAAGTGTCAACTTGTCTACACAATATATCTCTAAAGGTTTCCATTTCTGCAAGCTTCTCACGTAAGCTATGGCCCTTCTGAAAATACAAGAGAAAAAATCTGAAATGTTTCTAAATACTCAGCAGTAGCTTAATGCATAAATAAAAAAATAATTTCTTCAGCTATGAAGAACAAATTCAAGTACATTAAGGACACTTTAGATATCAGCAGCTATGAAGTACTGATAGAAGAATGTAAGAAAATGTATACAAGTGTTCCTTACTCATTTTATCCACTAGTCTCAATTTTTCCTCTGCAATGCATCTGCTACTTTACAGCATTCAACAAAACTTTATTAAAAATGCACTCTTGCATGCTAACTTTATCACTCTTTGCCTGAAAACAGTCAGCTCTAGTTTAAGATTTTTGTTCCAATCTTCACTCCCCTTTCTTGTGTTGCTCCTCTGCTCTCCCTGAAGTATCGCCCACCCAAGTTTGTATGTTAAATATTTATACATGTGAGACAAGGAAAGCTGTCATTTGTCAACCAGTATTAATTAAATTACAGAATCAGCATTCCTTTTCACCTAGAGGCCCTGACATTCTGATAAGTGAACTAGGAAAGGCTAGTGAATGCTTGTACAGGTTTGATTTTCTTGCCATTGGAAAATGACACCACAGTTTGAAAAGGTCAGCTATACAGAGGCACGAGAGAACTTCTGTATGATCTGTTCTTCACCACGTGATTACTTGCTAATACTTAAGAGTAAACCAAGTATTCTGTATTTTTTTCTATCATTGTGTGAATAAGTCTTCACATAAGTTATTTCTTTTCCAATTGTGTGTGTTATTTACACACCAACACTAAGAAAATTCTGTTCACTAACCTTGAATGAAGAGGTGGATGTCGCAGAGTATCCACTTGCTCCAGAAACAAGAGACACCATGGAGCCATGGCGTCGTAAACTTGACTCTGATCCATAGCCAGATTCGGTCTAAAAAACAAACCACACACAAAACTGGAGTGCTGAGGCTTCTAATAAAAAAGAAATAATGAAAACAAGATTGATGTAATTTCTTTTGAAACCAGTCCACATGTTTCTTGTCAGGAAGCAGCAGCAGCAGCTTAATAACCCAAATTTTGCCTGCATATTTAATATGTTGATGCAGCACCTGCAAAGTTACCCATGAATCTATTTTTGTTATCATAATGATCTGTAAAAAAATGGTTATCTACAACCTATTATGTGCCCTCAAAAGAACAAGGCAACATATATTTAAGGGTTCAGAAAAGGGATAATGTTCCATTATTTTGATAATGGAACAAAATGGTTCAAATGGTTCAAAAACCTACAATACTCTACCATTAACCAGAGAGACAACAATAGTAGCTAATTAAATAATGAAAAAAAAAATCTTGATTAAAATAACATTAAAAAGATCTAAAAATAACAAGTTTCAAATAACAATAAAAAAATTTCATCACAAATCAAGCAGAACCATAGAATGAGGAACTGGAAGAAAAATATTTCCGAAAAGGTTAGTGTAAATGGCCTGTGCATGGCAAAGGACAAGAAAAACCCTGAAAGAGAATGTCAGACAAACAAATGGTTCAGAGTAATATTTGAAATATGTTAATAGATGAGTTTGATCAAGTAGACAGTGACAACATTGTGAAGGGCTTTTGACAGAAGTAAGAAATTCTGTAGTAGCACAGAAATTCAGATGGGGCAGAGAGAAGGGTTGACAAAACAAATGGTATAGAACAAACAAGAAGTAACAACGTAATTTTAGCTTCTGTACTTTTTATGGGAAAAATGGAAACTGCCTAGGCTTTGGGAAGGCTGGAGAGCACTGATAAATTAAGACGAGAAAGAACTTGAAGAGTATTAAAAGAATAAAGGACAAAGTTGTTTGAAGTGCTGGTTAAAACAGCAGGATTTGGACAATACTGCAATGTGTGGGACAAAGTATCTATGTTTTGGTCACAAAGGGCTAGTGGCAGAGAAATGCAGTTTTAGAGAAACGAAGGTATGACTGAAAAGAAAAACCCGCGTCCCACAGTTGTCAACATAATTCCTGAACGAACGTGACTGAACGAGATTATCCAGCACAACCAAGCAAGAAGGAGCCAAGAGTTGGGTTCTGTCTGGCCCATTAAAAGAATGAAGTGGAAGACAAGAAAGCATTGAGGAAGCAGAAGAGAAACAGGATGAGTATCAAAAGCAGAAATGGAGTTGAAAAATTATTATGACCAAGAAATGCAAGTGTAGTTGTAAAAAGGTACTCCAGAAGTCCTGGTGGAAGAAGGCGAAGTGCCCATCAACTTAAAATAAAAAAAAGTGCAATTGTAAATACAAAAGTTTTAATAAGACACATCTTCAGTCCATTGCTTAATTTATCAAAAAATCAGAAATACTGGCAACTTATCTAAACTAGCAGAAACAGAACTTTACGTTTAATGACAGCCTAGAGTGAAATGACAGAACACAAGACAGTTTCCTTACTAAGTCAAACTATAAAGATGTATTAATAATTTAATAATTTCTGCTATAAATCATGCATTTAAAGCTATTTTATACTGAACAAGAGTTTTAGAAAAATAGCTATATAAATGTAGCAACCAAAGGGCTAAGAGCATTATTTTTTTAAGAATTAGTCCTACCATTAGTTTCAAAACTTGGCTTCAAAAATATCTATTGGAATAGGCTTTTGTTAAAAACATTCACATTGGATACATAGGGCTTTTTCAGAATATCAGTTCAAGACTTAAGCAGTATAGCTAGCTTTGATAATGTATTTGGAATATTGCACATTTTGAATTGCAATGCAATTCAGTGCAAGTTTTCTACATTCATTCATTGGGTTATAATTTTAAGTATAACAGTAATCAAATAAATGAAACTTTTAAGTTTTTTTGCAAATATCAAAGTAAGGGGGTTTTGGCTCTTTTTATGGACTTTAAGTCCTCCAAAGGCTTGACAAGTAAAAATGAAGTAGGTAAGGGAATAAAAGGATCTTAAAAGGACAAATAAGAATTTTAGTCTTACAGTTATTTCATTTCAGAAGTGTTTAATGAGCATAAACCTCAGAGCATTTCATAAGAGTCACACAACACTATGAAGCATGAAACATTTCCTCTAAAAAAACTTCAGTTCTACTGCGAATTTCAGTGTTTACTTAACAATACACTACAAATAGTAAGATGACTCTGAATGTGCTTTTACTACAGTTTGACAATGGGGACTCATTTTATTTTCTCTATAAGCTGTACACACTAGAAAGAAGATAAAATTTCAATTCAATGGGATACGACTTAATGAACAGATAAATTTTAAAATGTAGCCAAAATATCCATTGCATTGAGGTCAGAGTATTTTAACTAAGGACAGCAAATGTCTTCTGATTGCATTCGCCTTTAAGTGAGAAAGACACACCAATGCAAAACCTGAACTTGAGCTTAGGAAGTGAAATTTCTGTATTTCTCTAGATTTAATCAAAGTCACATTTTAGTAGTAGTACTCTCAAACTTAGAAGAATAGATGTGATCTTAGAAACAGAAAATCTGGTGACTTTTATTCTGTATTTGAATTCAATTCTTTTCTTCCTATATTACCCATACAGTCAATGCTCGGTTAATTTAGTCCACAAAATAAAAGCTGAGGGTGAAAGAAAAAAACTCTTTCAATTTCAATTTGTAAGCTTGATATTTTAAGGTACCTTTTTCGGCAATAAATTTACTTGGCTGTCAGTTATGCTTGTGATTAATAATTCCAATAAACAGTTTATCCACATATCAGAATTGTATACAAGACAGCATATACAGCTATCAACTTGCAAACACTATCAATAAAAAAAACACTACACAAAAAGCATTTAAGCAGTTTTAACTATTTGCAACCAAGGAGCAAATTCAGCAGAGCAAACAGCACACAACATGAATCCAAAGCTTGTGCATTTACAGATCATGTCCAGAAAACTGTCTCAGACAGTTATGTTTTAATAGCCAAGGGAAAAAGAAAGTTACATCAAGAATACTTGTATTTATCAGAAGAAACAACAACAGAAAGTATTATTTTACAACTGGTGCGGAGACAAGCCATTCTGCTCACAGCAGACACATGCAAACAGCCCAACACAATGAAAGCATGCATCATGCAAAGCCCCACCATTCTGCTACCGCAACATCTAAAGGAGAGCAGGTCACTGCTGCACTTATGTCTTGCAAAGCAGATCATCATTAACTATTCACTGCAGAAATACCCAATTACATTGAGAAGAGGAATGTTGACACAAGCTTCTTCTGTTTCCACAATTTTTAATTTCCCAAGATAAAAACTGGAAAAGTAGAGTCCATATAATAGGAGCTAACAGTCTCTGCTTGAAAACAAAATAAATTGCAGAAGTTGTATCAATTCATACCATCAAGCACTAATGCTAAATTGCATGCTCAGCATAGAGATGCAGTTCTTTGAAATTCCATGCATACATCATAGCTTCAAAGCTACACTGAAACTGGCACTTGTTAGTATATTGCAACACCTTCAGCTTTCTAAGGCAGTGCACAAAATCCATTAATCCTCTTGTTATGAGAGGAGAAGGAAGAGCCACATGATCCAAAGCTTCATGCGATTCTTCACTGAAGCAGGTGTTGGTATCAGCAACAAGGCAGTACATCAGAAAAGCTGCTCTCAGTAAAACAGCCAAGTATTCGCAGAATCCTCCTGCAGACCTCCATTATGGCTCACACTGATCCACCAGTTAAGGATTTCCTAAAGTGGGTCAGTAACACTCTCGAGTAAAGCACAGAGTCACAGGAAAACTCCTCCACTTAAAAAAACCCCTATCAAATAAAGTAAATTATTCTCCCATGTCTTCAAAGCATTATTTTGATTATGTCTCAGTTCAGTGCCTGTCAAGCACTTCAATGTGCATTTGTCCACCAAGGCAGGTATTTTCAGTTAGCATTATAAATTATTTATTATTTTACATAACACAAGCAGCTGGCAGCTCCTCCTTCTAAGGCATATGTTCACCCTAGGAGGCGATGAAACAGACATTAGGATACAGTGACTCTAATCATGTTCCCTGCAGTATTTGTGAAAAATCCTGTTAAAACATGCAAGAGATCAAACCACAGTACCTTATGAAAAACAAGAATGTAGAAAAAAGTAAAAATGCAAAATGAAAGAGCTGGAAAGTACTATGAAAGAATTAGTGGAGACTAGAGCAGGCAAGCTCTATAAAACATCTACGTTCCAAGAGCAATTTTTAGATTTGCTGCAAATGCTTCAACATATACCTGAAGAAAGAAGCATTACTGCTAGGATGAGACAAGAAAGGGCTACCTAGGGATGGCTGCAGGCAGTAAGAACACCACAGACACTAGTTAGAGCAGCCCAGGACACATTTTGAGGACTGAAGTTAGAGAAACTATTAACATGTATCTGTAGGTCTGATTTTTCAATTACTCTGTAGCCACCGACAACAGAAATTTAAGTTTTCAGAAATGAGGCAGTTATTAGCAGGAATATAGAGATGAGAATTTCACAATCCAGGTCACAGCAGCTGGATGATGATTCTCCTGCCTACAGTCCTCCCAAGCACAGTGCAGGAGACTACTTAGTAAGCAAAAAAACTGCACATGACCTTCCTTTGGAACTCCCAAAACAGTTAAAGAAATGTAGACATTTTTCCTCCAACAATGATAAATGTCACAATTCCACAGTAAATAAGCATACTTATACTTATGCACAGGAGGAAAAAAACCCAGGAATTCTGAGTTGAAAACTACGTATAATAAGAGAACTGAAAAAACCCAAACTTTAGCAATACAGCCCTAAGGTTATTGTAACTGCTATACTCACTGGTCCAATTTAAGTAACAGTTATCTTTTGGGTCTTTACTTCTCAAACTCCATATACTTTTGGTAAGTCACCATGTGTTGCCTGCAGAAAATAAACCTCTAACAGCTGCGTGAGCTAAAGCAGCCAGG